GTACTGTACAGGGAAATGATTAACCACTTCCAGTCTGGACACTTTTACCCCCTTCCTGACCAGGGCAATTTTCAGCTTTCAGCGCTATCACACTTTGAATGACAATTGGGCGGTCATGCAACACTGTACCCGTATGAATGTTTTACCATTTTTTTGAGACAGATAAAACTTTATTTTGGTGGTATTTATTCACCGCTGGGATTTTTATTTTTTTTGCTATGTAAATGAAAATGTCCAAAAATTTTGAAAAAAAGTGTTTTTCTTATAAAATTTAGCAAATAAATAATACTTCATCATAAATCTTGGCCAAAATGTGTTCCGTTATCTTTTTAGTAGAAAAAAAAAATAAGCCAAATTAGTTTATAACCAAAAAGTATAATTTTTAAACATTTGTTTTACATTTTTATTTTTTTTTATATTATTATTTATTTTATTATTATTTTTATTTACATACTGTCACCCTAGCAGTACAGTGTCACTATGGTGACACTGTAGTACTTTTGGGGAGTGATGAAGATTTTTTTTTTTTTTTTTTTTTACACTGATTGCTTTTACACCCATATAGGATGTAAAAGCAATCATTTCTCTTTCTCTCTGTCTGCATTCTTGCAGCCATTGAGAACTACTGAGTGAGCTGTGATTGGTCACAGCTTGTCACATGGTACAAGGCTGTTGTGAATAGCCTTGTACAATGTGACCTCTGTGATCATTCACAGATTTCACACATAGTAAGCAATGATGTCAGAAGTGACATCTTGCTTACTACTTTGCATGTGATCACTGATTGGCCAATCAGTGATCACATGATCGGAACCTCGTACAGAGGTCCCGTCCGACGATCGGTGTTTCACTGTGTCCGGAGGACACAGCGGGCACCGGATCGCTGTGCTGCGCGCTCCCCGCACCCGACCCTGCAGTGCCCACCATTCGGCCATTTATATACAATGGCCGGTTGAGAAGTGGTTAAAAACAAATTCGGAAATACATTGAAAACCAATTAATCTGCTCGTATTGCGAAAAAAATTTGTAAATCGAGCCATTATTTTCAATGGATTTTCATTCGTAAACCAAAAATTACGTTAACCGAGGCGTTCGTAAACCAAGGTATGCCTGTATATCCCTGTATAGAACAGTGTACAACTTTACATTTCTAAGCATCATGGAAAGCACATCTGTATGCAATACCCTTCAAATGTTCCACAATGGTCACCTAAAAGTTGGGAGGAACACGTAACTAAAAGTTAACTTAAGACAAAATTGGGCACAGAGGAAGAAAAGCTGTGTTCCAGGTGGCAAATTTCAAGGCAAGTGTTTGCACTGCACTTTAAAAATTCAGTTCAGTAGCAAAAGTGATATCATTTGGAAAATATGACAGCAGATGAGAGAAAGGAGAAACAAAAAAAAAAAAGATGACTCATGCAAAAATTTACAGATGAGACAACGGATGAAAGAAGCTTCAAAATGCTAAAACATCAGCAGAGGAATCTGGAAAGAGCGGTAGAGACAAACAACTTTAACGGAAATGAAGACCTTTAGGAAGCCACACTGACAAACATCTGTGCTGGAGAATATTTAAAATTGTACATAGCTGGTCTAAGAACAAAACAGCACATAATATGGTTGCTGTTTAGTTTACAAAACATGCTACAAACCTCCCTGGCAACTAAAATACAGAGGCTTTTTTTGCTGTTTAAGAATTTACTCTGTCCTGTTCTTTTACTATGAAATAAATCAAAGAAGATCGAAAGTGAAAACCCAAGTGTAATTTACTGTAATAATGTACCATCCATTATGTCACTGGATGCTAATAGTGCAATAGTAAAGTTAAAAGGGTTGCTTTACTAAAAGCAAATAGGTTGTTTGCTTTGCAAGGGATTTTCCCCCCAGAATTTAGTGAATGTGGTGAAATTTTACTATGCAAATAATATCCAAAGAAATGCAATGAAAATAGAAAAAAAATTTTTTTTTTGTCTTGCACAAAAATTACAAAATTTCACTCACAAAGCTCTGGGAAAATTCCCTTGCAAAATAAACAGCCTTTAGTAAATTAAGTGTATTTAACCAATACACGCCCTGCCAATAGCTAAAAGGCGGCCGGAAAAATGTATTGGATTTCCGGGTTGAACACCAAATGGCGTCCTCCCGCACATGCGCACTTTTCCTGCTTGCAGAGCCGCTCAGCGGCGCGATCTGTCACCGCCCCCGTTTACCTCAGACACGGCTGATGACAGATCTGAGTATCGGCCCCTGTTGCTATAAGCAAATTGTGCAAAAAAAAATACTGATCACTTCCCCAAAGTAGTACTGTACTTTGGACATAGTGAAATATGAAAAAAAAATCTTAAAAAAAGAAAAAGAAAGTAATAAAAAATTAAAAATAAATAAAATAAAAAAAAAAAAAAAATATATATATATATATATTTTTTTTTTTTTTTTTTTTCATACTGTCACCAGTCAGTGTCCCTGTTCACCGCCATGCCAGTTATATGATGACGCTGTACTGCACTGGTGACAGTATGTAAAAAAAAAATTGTGAAAATAATTTTTTGCATTTTTTCATTTTCCGAAAAAAAAAAAACAAAAAAAATACAACTTCAAAAAACTCGCATGCCTCTTATGAAGTACGTCGGACTGTCTACTCTGCAAAAAGGGGTCATTTGGGGATATCTGTACTATTCTGACATTCTTGGACCTCAAGAAATTAGATTGGCTGTCAGTACTTCAGGATTGATCAATATTCAGATCTATACCAAAGTTTGTGAACTCTGTAACTTTCCTACAAACTAAAAAATACATCCTAATTTGGGTTATTTTCACCAAAGACATGTAGCAGAATACATATTGGCGTAAATTTATGAAGAACAATTATTTATTTGCAAACTTTTATAACAGAAACAAAGGAAAATTTGTTTTTTTTTCAAAATTTTTTGGTCTTTTTTTGATAATTTAGCAAAAAATAAAATCCCCAGCGGTGATTAAATACCACCAAAAGAAAGCTCTACTTGTGTGACGAAAATGATAAAATTTTAGTTTGGGTACAATGTTGAATGCCCGCGCAATTGTCATTCAAAGTGTGAGAGAGCTGAAACCTGAAAAATGGCCTGGGCAGGAAGGTGTAAAATTGCCCGGTATTCAAATGGTTAAAGCCCAATTCATTTTTTGTTTTGGATTAATTGTGGATGATTTAGAACCCATCAGATTTTAATAGTTGTCTGTGTCCCCACAGGGGAGATTCACTCTTTCTATTTGCTCTGGGCCAGGAAGTGTTGCTGGGAAAGGAAGTGAGGGGAAATCCAACATTTTTTGGGGGATGTCACCAGAGAAAGAGGTGAGTGTAAATATAGGGGACAGTTGTGCTAATGAGAATCTTTTAAATCCCTAAGGATTTTCCACTTCCTATAGTATCTTTGGGACAGGAAGTGAACAGAAATGTGAAAGGGGTTTTAAACATTCTCTACCCCACTGAAAACGTAAGAAAAAGTTTTGGTTTTGGATACACGCAAAGGACCATTTTGACTTCTGTGTTGCGGAGACACACAGTAAAACATAAATTTTTCCACTATTTGAATTTCCCCCCAAAGCAACAAAACAATCTACCTGCAGTGCCATGAATTGCAATGTTCTGGCTAAAAAAAAAAATGTTATGCATGTGCATGAGTCCGATGAACCATAATAGACTACACAGGGGGTGTTCAGCCTTAAAGCGGAGCTCCACCCAAAAGGGGAAGTTCCGCTTTAAAGTCTTTTTCCTCCTCTAAACCAAATGGCACTTTTTTTAGGGGGGAGAGGGTACCTGGTTTTCCTCTCTTCCTCCCTCCCCGCAGTCTTCTTGGACACATCACAGGTCCCAGAAGACTGTGGGACCATCCACAATGCTCAGCATGGATTGCCCATGCACAGTTGGCATCGAGCTAGGAATGGCTTGGGTGAGCACATCGCTGGATCCTTGGACAGGGGAGTGTATTAGCAGTCATCAGCTACAGTTTTTTGCAGCTGCTGACTTTTAAAAAATAGAAAAAATGACTGGAGCTCCTCTTTAAAGCAGAACTCTAAGTATTATCTTTATTGCATAGTTACATTGTTTCAGCTTGCACCAGTATAAGTATGCACATCTCATACCTGATGGGCTGTTGGGGAATCTGAAAATCACTGTAATAGTCAAAGCTGCTACAGTCATAACAACTTCCCTGCTGCAGACTGACTACTTGCTCAGCATTGCTGCCATTCACAGAACATCTTGTATTTTTTCATTGAATACAAGGCATTTTCTGATTGAATGAGGTGGATGAGGAGCAGTAACGTCACAAATTCCACCTTCTCCAATCAAAGAATGCATTGTATTCATTGAAAAAAGAATTGTTTGAGGTATTCTGTAAATGATGCCAGTGCCAAGCGAGCTACCCCTTGTGGTCATTGTGCAGTGGAGAAACTGCTTAACCTCCCTAGCGGCTGATTATGTCCATATTTCTGTGCTCAAAACAATACATTTTTTTGCATGGAAATATGTATTTTTTTTTTATTGTAGGCCTGTAATTTTTAGGAATAACTCACTGAAATGTGTCCGAACAGAGTCTATTAAACATCCCGGGTAGGATAAAACTTGAAACACGAAATCATAAATTATAATTTAATAAATAATCATAAATAATAAATTTAATTCAATAATATAATCAAACCAAAAACACTGAAATTTGAAATATAGCGCCAAGTTCGCACATCATTGAGCAAAGTTGCAAAGTAATTTTCAGTGTCTGATAACGAATTTCCCCACAAATTATTATCACTCAATTCTGCAAGTGGTTCTAATTTGCTATCGCCGATTTTGACCTAAAGGGACGCTTTTTGGACACCATGGATGTTTCTCAGTTTCCAGGCAGAAAGAACAAAGAACAATAAAAATGCAGGCAGGTCACAGGACAAAGCACTAGGGACAAAATGTATGTGAAATGGTTTGATAAAGTAATGTTTTACTATGTGATTTTAATGAATTTAGTGAATGACACTTTTTGTCATCTTCAAATTTCCCGCCGTTCCGTCCACCGTACGTCCTGACATCGCAGGGAACGGATCCCAGATGACAGATGCCGGCATCCGCCGGAGGACATTACAGGGGACACTGCAGGAGGGACATCGCGGGAGCGCAGGACAAGGTAAGAGAAGAACAGATCCCAGAGCAGCGCTGCAGGGTATTCCCGAGTGTAGCTTGGGGTTACCGCTTGTGGTGCTGAAACTTTACCCCGAGCTACACTCGGGAATACCGCCAGGGAGGCTACCACAGGATCTGGAAGATCATGGCCATATTCTGCTGTAGTGCTGACTCCTACAGTGATTTCCAGTGTCCCCAGCAGCCCCTCAGGTATGAGATATGCATACTGACATTATGTAAAATGGATCATCATGGAAAAAAAAAATTATATATATATTGACACGCCTCAGGTCTAGGTTGTGAGGCCAGTGGTCTTTAAAGGAGAAATATGGCCAAAGTTTTTTGGCTATCTCTTCTGGGGATCACAGGAGTGCACTTAGTTTTGCACTGTTGTGTCCCTGATTCAGCCAACAGCCGCTAAAGCCCATTGACACCTGATATCACAAAATCAGTCAAGACTCAGGGATCCCTACAACAATGTTGGGATCCACACAGATACCTGACTGGCAGCTGGCTTACCTCTCAACATGCTGCTGAGAACTTAAGCCAGCCGCTCCTGGCCCCCTCCACAGCCCAGTGCTCCAGTGAGTGCAGGGGGAAGCCCATGTAGCCTTTCTTAGAGGCATGCAGCATATGTGTTGATCTTTTTTTCTTTAAAAAAGTAATTTCTTAAAAATAGATTTTCCTAACAATGTTATTTCTCTTATAAAAAGGAAGCCCTGCAATCATGGAAATGCTTTGTTACTGTGGTGTCTATAGTAATGAAGATTCTCACAGGTAAATGGTCATAAATTGTTGTAAAACAAAAATGTGCTACCGGGCAATAATAAACTGAACAAACAGTGCATCAGTTTGTAAAGTGTTAGTGTCTTACTGAGCAGAATCTACACATTTATTCCTACATCAGTAGAAACACCCTGAGACCAGTACATTAGAACAGCCTGCTTCATTTTAAGACATCTGGGAACATTTCCCACCTCTTTAATGGTGTTAACATGGTTTATAATTAATACTTAGTCACATGTTATGCAATTTGTCAAAACACTATGGTTGTGCACTTTCCATGATATAGTTTAATCTGTATCAAAATGGGAATTGCAGTGTTCATGTCCTGGAGGTCCCTGAAATTATGTAGTCACTTGTGCTTGCAAGATCCAACGGTAAGCATCTGAGTCATGTGAGTTTATAAGATTTGCATAGTTCAATTTTCTTCCATTCAGACTGTTCTTTTTATAATAATTGTCTAAGAAAGCATTTGAAAGGAGGGGAGCATAAGCCAAAAAGCATGGAATAGCATGTTAAAGCGGCACATTTTGGGCCGCCTGTGGCTCTTTTACTGTGGTTTTGGCCCTTGGCTGGCTTAAGCTTTCAAAATTAATGAGGCCGCAAACTGTTGTATGGGTCATCAAAGCTAGACTTTCTTACGTAATTTTGCAGTTAAGTAGCTTAGAATACATTTTCTTGCACCTTTACCAGGTTTAAACTATGCCAATTACAATACTTTAGTACAGTAAATCAATGACTACATATATTTTATGAATTATTTCATCTTCTGTATGTTAATCCCAAGGTGTTGTAGTAGTTTTAGCAATAACTGCAAGAGTATCTTGTAAAAAATGTTCTATGCAACTCAGCACTCTATGATATGGTTGAAGTGAATTTTTGCTGCTTCTAGAGAAAATTATTAGCTAAAGTTGCAAAAACATAAACTGCTACAGGTGAATCGAGCACAACAGCTTTCAGCTGGCAAGGTTCCACAGGACTCTGCTTAAAATCCCCCTGCACTGTGATGGGCAGTTTAAGTAATAAGCACTAGATCCTATTTCTCTAAAAACCTTTTAAAACATTTAAATATGCTTACTTTTTGTAGTAGTTGCAGAGCAGTGACATCATACTATTACCATTTGGCCATTTTGCACCTATTGTGCAGCCCTCTAGGCCCCTGCAGACAGTGGTCTGGTTCCCTTACCTATTTCCACACTCAAGCCAGTGTTATTTATTTAACACTACAAATTTTTTTTCTGTGATACCCATTATTTTTCTTTTTATTTCTTTGATCTTTTATAATAGATTTTGCAGAGGGAAATATAACATTAATCACAAGTAATTTTCAGAAGGACTGTGAGGACCACAAATGTGGAAGCATAGATTTGTACATGGACTTTAGTAGCAGTGATTTCTAGCAGATCTGACTATCTCCTGTAGTATTTCTGCAGTCTCTGACCATCCCACATAGCATGTCTGCAGTCTTTGACTATCTCATGTAGCATGTCTGTAGTCTCCAATCATCTCATGTACCATGACTAAAGTCTCTGACCATCTCCAATAGCAAGTCTGCAGTCTCTGTCTCTCATGTACCATGCCTGCAGTCTCTGATCCTCTTCTGTAGCATGTCTGTAATCACTGGCCATCTCCAATAGAATTTCTGCAGTCTCTGACCATCTCCTGTAGCATGCCTGCAATCACTGGCCATCTCCAATAGAATTTCTGCAGTCTCTGACCATCTCCTGTAGCATGCCTGCAATCATCTCATGTACCATGACTAAAGTCTCTGACCATCTCCAATAGCAAGTCTGCAGTCTCTGTCCATCTCATGTACCATGCCTGCAGTCTCTGATCCTCTTCTGTAGCATGTCTGTAATCACTGGCCATCTCCAATAGAATTTCTGCAGTCTCTGACCATCTCTGTAGCATGCCTGCAATCATCTCATGTACTATGACTAAAGTCTCTGACCATCTCCAATAGCAAGTCTGCAGTCTCTGTCCATCTCATGTACCATGCCTGCAGTCTCTGATCCTCTTCTGTAGCATGTCTGTAATCACTGACCATCTCCAATAGAATTTCTGCAGTCTCTGACCATCTCCTGTAGCATGTCTGCAATCACTGGCCATCTCCAGAAGAATGTCTGCATTCTAACCATCTCATGTGGAATGTCTGCAGTCTCTGACCATTTCATGTAGAATGTCTGCAGTCTCTGACCATCTCATACAGCACTGCAGTTACTGATCATCTGTAGTATGTGTGCAGTCATCACCATTATGTGTAGAATGCAGTCTTGCAGTAGCATGTCTACAGTCATTGCCCATCTCATAAAGCATGTCCGCAGTCATAATCATCTCTAGTAGCATGTCTGCAGTCATTGATTACTCCAGTAGAATGTCTGCAGTCTCTGACCATCTCCAGTAGAATGTCAGTTTCTTATCAGCTTAGGTTGTAAGCACCAAGTAGCAGGGCCCTCCTAACCCTCTTGTATTATACTGTATTGTTGCTGTATTGTCTCCCGTTATATTGTAAAGCGCTGAGCAAACTGATGGCACTATATAAATCCTGCATAATAATAATAATAATAATAATAATCTAATGTACAGTAAAATAGCTGCAGTCTCTGACCATCTCACTTAGCATGTCTGCAGTCTATGACCACCCCATGTTGCATCTCTGCACTCTCTGACCATCCCATGTTGCATGTCTGCAGTCTCTGACCATCTCCTGCAGCACCACGTTCAGTAAATATTACATGTGATAATATCCTTTATAACAAGTAAGTTGAAAACCACAAATCTATACCCATTTTCTATTATACCGTTAAAGCATTGCAGTTCTGTTTATTAGATAATCTCCTCCAGTACAATGTAAAAAAAAAAAAAAAACAAATAACAGTGTACCTGTACCAGGGGCGGACTGACAACTCATGGGGCCCCCGGGCAATAGGGGATCATGGGGCCCCTGTGTCCTTGCCCAAACTCAAAAAAGCCTATGAAAAAGGTACCAGGGGTGTAACGTACATGTGACATGTTGTAACATGCATGTGACATAAATGTACAGATTTGAGTAGATATGATGTGATCAGTAGCAATATGTAATCGTAACTGTAGGGACATTCCATTGTCATTAAGGATGTATATTCTGTAGAGACATTCCATTGTCATTAAGGATGTGTATTCTGTCCTTGTCATTGGGGAAATGAGGTACTCAGACAGTGGTCATCAATTAGCATCAATTAGGCTGAAAAGCCTGCTTCTGGGATGTGACACCTTTGTGTTAATAAGATTGTCACCTTCTGGTGAAACCGGTTTGGAGGAAGTGGCCCCAGACAGGTTGTCTGCCTGACATTGGAAGATGTAAAAGGAGTATATTCATACATCAAAAGGGGTATGTTTCATCTCTAATAAAAGCTAAAATATTAGTTGTAGAGAGATGAACATGCTCCCATCTGTTAGGGCATTCTGTAGGCTACATCTGCACTAAAAATCATATTTGTGGTTTAGGCAGAAGGCTAGGAAAATGCAGGAAATGGTTAGGTGGTGCTGGAGTGCGACAGTCGAACGGTGTTTGGTACTGTCACAATCGGCCGATGTGCTGGTGTCGGAAATCCAATCCCCAACTTGGTGTTTCAAGCTGGTCTTGGTCCAATTGAACTTGGGCGGGTCAGCACACAGAACATCCTGTGGGCAGGTACAGGAGCAGCCCCCCATGGTCAATTGGCCGAGGACTAATGTCCCCTACGTCCATAATTTGAGTACCCGGACACTGGGACATTTGTGATTCGTATGGAGCTGGTTTGATCGACCAACGGATTACTGTTTCTCTGACTTGCTCCAGTCGCAGGATAAATCCTGGTAAAGTTTTACTTCTGTCTTTTATTCCCTTTTATTTTATAGTGGATAGTCATTTGTGTGTCTTCTCGTATTTTTTGCATTTCTGTAACTTTTTATATTTTGTACATATTTTAAGCACTGCCCACTTTCGGGAAATTAAATCTTAAAATTAATTAGTGACTTCTGTGTATTTAAGCACGTGCTCATATCTTCGGAGAGATTAGATTGGAGAGATTAGTTTGGAGAGATTAGATTGGATTAGATTGGATTGTATTTTAGTGCCTTTAATGCTCGGTCAAGCTCATTGCCAATCTGTATGCAATTGCACTGCGTGTGGGTAGATTGTGTGCAGATTGTAAAAGGTAACAGATCGACCAGACAGAGATCTGTGTGTGTGGGGTGCCCCAGCAGACCGTTCTGCGGATAAACTGTTTGGTGGTGGCAGGCTACCTTTTGTGGTATGTCTGGTTTGGGGGGTTGGTGTGGACAGTGGAAGGGTGATTAACACCGGGGTTCATGCTGTAGGTAGCTGGAGG